ATCCTGTGATTGTCATAGGAACACTGCTCTGATACCAATTAAACACATATGGGACAGAATAGATTACGCTTTAGTGTTCGAACACCAAAAATAAAAGAGGAAATAAATAACTTGAATTCTCTTTGGGGAGCGTCACACTACCCCTCAGAGTGCTTTCATTAATAGCTTAATTTGCGCGTATAAATTACAACTTGGACTAACAAGACTCGTACTCCTTCTAGTCTAGCCAACACTATACTCGTACCTATTAACTAATCATCTGGTCACAACCTTGTGGACTTCAAACTAGCTAAGAATCCCTCCCAACTATCCTAGTACTTAATCTCTAAGTACGAAAAGTATTTGTAAAAGAGAAAGAAAAACACACACACACACACACATAGTTTTTCAGTGGTGTAAGAACACTGAAAACTATTACAAACGAACTCAAAAACAAATCTCACAAACACTCAAATGAAGTCTTCTGATATATTGAACTCTGATAATAGCAGATATCACCTATTTGTGTAGGTATATATACAATCTTCTCAAGCCAAGAAGTCTTCAATCTTCCTTCCTTTTGGAGTAGATTTTCTTCCTTCCTTAAACTCTCAAAATAATGTCAAGATCTTTATGTATGGAAGCCGAGATCTTCATATCCATTGTGCCTCGGTCAGCTTCTTCTGCCTTCGAATCCAGGATCTCCTTTAAAACAAAAACAAACATTATAGAAACATCTGTTACATAAAAGCTTGTTAAATCAAAAGGAATATAATCTAGATCTATATAAAAGAAAGAGTGAGAATGTAAATCATCCTTTTTTTATTTTTCTTGCTTGAATAGACATCAAGATTTCATTTTCAAAAAAAAAAAAATTGTCAAATAAAATCTTACAATAAAAATAAAATTAAAGGATCGATTCAATTACCGATTAATCAAAATACATTTCAAAAGGACAACTGCGATAGGGTCTAATAATGAAAATAAAATTATGAATCATGGGGAAGCTATATGTATTTAAAGAATAAGCCAATTCAGCTATATGAATTAATTAAAACACCTTGAATGAAACGTATATATATTTGTGGGGTATTTTTCAAGGACTCTCTTGTGTGTCCACGTGCAAGCAAGAAAAATAAAACACAAAATTGATTGACTATATATATTGGATGAATAATTATAATTACATTGGTCTCTGTATATAATTTAGTTTTGTTTTTTTTAAGGTGTGTATATTATGTTATATACATAAAAATGCAGAAATTCTATGGCACCACATGTGGCACCATATTATGGTACCACAACATGATGTGACTCATTATGATTGGTGCCACAACTATCACACATCATGTTGTGACACCAATCATAATGTGCCACATCATGTTGTGGCACCATAATATGGTGCCACATGTGGTGCCATAGAATTATTGAATATCTCAATGTGTGATAATTATTTAAATTCTTGCTGCATATGAACAAAATTATTGATGCCTTTAAACTGGCCCTACTTTAATCTTGCATACAAGAATCAGATTGAGCAAAAGAGAGAAGCAGATTGTGTATTGAAATTTTGAAGAATAACGCATTTTAAAAAAAAAAACTTGCAGATATAATTCGCTTTGGACATATATAATTTGATAAATATAATTAAAAAGTATTATTATTTTCAACAAATCAAATGCAGAACTCGGTTTCATGTTAAATCATATCAATTTTTAGTTCTTTATTTTATAACAAAAATACGTGATTTTTTTTATTAAGGCATGGATTCTATATCCCTGTAAAACCTTAAAGACTCAAATATTAGAAAATAAAATTAAATAGAATATGTAGAATTACTAAACTAATAAACAAAAATTTCTTAAAATAATCACCTAGCAGTCTTGGAATATTAAATATAGAATATGTATTACTAAACTAATAAACAAAAATTTCTTAAAATAATCACCTAGCAATCTTGGAATATTAAATATAGTATATGTATAATTACTAAACTAATAAACAAAAATTTCTTAAAAGAATCACCTAGCAATCTTAGAATATTAAATCTCATTTCGATCTTGACCTCAAAGTCATGTAATATCAATTCCCACGGTATTTTAATTTTCAAAGCAGTCTTCGAATATTAATTCCAGAGAACGGTATTTCGATCTTGACCTCAGAGTCGTGTAATATCATTTCCCACGGTATTTTAATCTTGAAAGCAGTCCTTTAGTAACATCGCATCACTCAATTGCATATTTATAAACTACCACATAAATATAATACTAAATAAAAAATGTTGTCGTGAAAGGTAACGGTTCAAACCACTAACAATGTACCTTCCAGACGTGTGTATTTTTACTTCCACATACTTTAACTTCACTTCATGGTTTTACTGCATTTTTAACTTCCATAGGTTAGACGTGCTACTCCGTTGTGTTAAAAAAAAAAAATATCATATTATATTTTGAACTTTGTTTAATGTTGTTAAATATGTTTGACTGATTGTACCGAAAAAAAGTATGTTTGACTGATTTATGTATTAAAACACAAAATTTTTTATGAACATACATAAATACAATGGTATTTACAAAATTCCCTTTATATTATGTAATCTGATACTTATTACATATATGACATATATATGCATAATACTATTTTTCAATGGATTAATTTAATCATGATCATATGTTTTGGATTTTCAAACTTCTTGTAGAAAATGGATCCAAAAAATAATAATTTACAAACATGTTTTTATTTATTTATTTATTATGAAAAATGTATGTGTGATCCATTGCGTTTGTTTTTAAAACATTTTATATCTAATTTCACTATTTGTATGTTGTAGAAAATGAAATAATAAATATTCTACAAACACGTTGTTATTTATTTATTTATTATGAAGAATATTTTTGTGTTATTCATTGTGCATATTTTAAAAATACTTTATATCTAATTTCACTATTACTAGATTTAATATTTATGTACAAAATTTAAGATAAAAAATTTAAAGAATTTAGGCAAGAAGCATACGAATACTTATAATTATTTTAATTTATAAAGTATAAATTATGAAACTTAGATAAATAATTTAAACTAAAATCTTTAATTTAAATATAATAAAATTCTATAAATTACTTTTAATTGTTTGTATTGAAAAATGACTCATCCTTGATGAACACGTGTCAAATCATTAAATAAATATGAGAGTGAGTAATTATCGATAAACTAAATAAATATATTTTGTATTTTGAATTGTTTGTATTAAAAAAATGAGTGACATGTCAAATCATTGAATAATGGGTGTTTGCGTAGTTATTGATAAACTAAATAAATATTATTAATATAAATATTAACACGTGTCAAAAGATAATGAGGATTTTCCAAAAATGATAAGAGTGTTATATGACCCACATAAAACTTTCTAAAATTGGGATTGAAGGGAGAGGGTGAAACTCCCTGTGACGCCGAGGACAGAGGTTCAATCCTGACTACCGTGAAAATGGAATGGGGCTCCTTATTTTCTCCAGAGGATTAGTCTCACCCTCTGGTGGTGGAAAGTTGGTCTGTTGGCTTGACCCATAGCGGTCGGTATTTCTAGGTAGACCGGATGATGGCTTGAGCTCAACGTCGATATTCGAATGGACGTGGGGATACCTCTTTAAAAAAA